GGTTTATTATTCTTTCTTAAACTTCTTTGAATATGGTTTTTTTGTTCTTTCCTAAATTGCGTTCGTAAGAAGAGAAAGATGTGGGTTTGAGTCCCACATTGAAGTGGAGAGAGTTTGTTGAGTTGAATTTAAGAACACATCCTCATGCAATTACTTTAAGTACAAAGGAGAGAGAAGATACATGTACGAAGTACGTGAAGTATAATGCACATGTGCGTGTATGTGTGTGTATATGTGTAAGAGGGTGAGGGCGCAAGGGCACTTGATGGCGCACTTTGAACTTCGCTTGCTCGAGCATGTGTGAAGGTCAGGCTCATGAGTAGTTATCTTCTTGGTAGCCCGGTTCATAAGGGATCCAACAACCATCTAGTCATTGATGCATGTGGCATCGGTGCATGAGGCATCCCTCGCCCGAGCACGTGTGCGAGTCGGGCTCGTGACTCGTTATCTTTTTGTGAGCCTGGCTTGTAGGGGATCCAACGATCATCTATATGTTGATGCATGTGAATCCCCCCAACGGTCATATAGCCATTGATGTATGTGGCTCATTATTTAACTTGTAGTTGTTGGTGGGGCATGTACCCACCACTACAGTAAATATGCAGCTACATTGTGGCTCTATATAAAGGCGTCCTTTTTCCAGACAAGATACATTTCACAGCCCTTGCATCTTTTTCAATAGACTATTCTCTGCAATTCTAGCAAGCAAACCAGTGGGCTCAACTCTCTCTCTACTCGATTTTATCTCTTTCTATACTATCAAGACTATGGTGCCTTATGTGTGGATTCCAAGCTCGGGTGCATAGAGCTTAGGAACATTGTAAAATACCTCTCTATTTTCATGTATCCCGATGAAAAATTATCCTTCTTATGCACATCAAATTCTATGTCAAAGGGGGGCAAATATCGTCTTTAGATAGTGCTCCTGTGTGCTTGAAACACGAAGAGTTTGAGCTTTCATTATTGCAAATCGTACCATTTTCTGCCCCTATTTCACCCAAACTTTTTCTAACAATTCAAGACGATATTTTATGTATGAAAAAAGAAAAGAGATTGCCAGGACGTCTTTGAAAGTCATGAATCACGTTATACTCGACTTGAATGCTTAAACATGCTAAATTTCAAGAGATGATAGTAAAATGTTCTCTTTTTGCTTACCACTCTCAAAGTGGCTTACATAATCACCAAGTCAATGTCTGCACTGCCACCATCATCGGATGGCTCCATCGATGATCAAACTCAATCTTACAAGAGATAGATGGAGGATGATTCTATATGCAAGGGTCATATCTTAAATGCCTTGGTGGATACGATCTATGATATGTATGCCTCCATTGGCACAACGAGAGAGCTATGAAAACTTCTTAAAACCAAATACCTCAAGGAAGAGTCTGGTAACAAAAGATTTCTGATCTCTAATTTTTTAGATTTTAAATTCATTTAAAACGAGTCTATACTCTCTCAAGTATACGATTTGCAGCTCGTAGTCAATGAACTTAAAGATTGTAATATTTTTTGAGATAAATATTTCCTAATAGGTCTATAATTCATAAGTTATCCCCATCTTGGAGAGAGTACCAAAAGAAGATGAAACACAAGAAAGTTGATCTTGATTTGGTCCAACTTCAAAGATCTCTTTGAATTGAAGAAGAGAATTGACTTAGGGAAAAGAAAGATGAATAATTTAATTTTCACTCTAAGGCAAATTTTGTTGAGCAAAAATCAAGTTCTCCTTTTGAAAATAAGCATTTCTTTCCCAGTTTCCATAATGAAAATTATAAGGACCTGAAGTCTATTGCCAACAAAAAGAAAGCCATTTGTTCTGTATACGGAAAATTGGGAAACTATTCAAGAGAGTGCCGACACCGGAAATGTCTCAAAAGGCCTAGAAACCAAGTAAACTTGAACACTGAAGAAAATTTGGTAGCAATAGTCATTGAAGTAAATATGATCGATAAAGACAATGGATGGTGGGTCGATACCGCCGCTACCATTCATGTGTCTAACAATCGAGACATGTTTAAGACTTTTGAACTAGTGGGTAACGATAATTCAGTGCAACTTGAAACCCAAGTTATAATAAATATGCTCGAAAATTGTAAGGTAGAACTAAAGTTTAGATCTAGAAAGGTACTCACTTTAGAAAATGTGTACTACTTACCAGACATGAGAAGAAACCTTGTTTCAGGATGTATCTTATACACGAAGGTTTTAAAATGGTCATTGGATCTAACAAACTCATCTTGACAAAAAATGGTGTATTTGTTGTCACATTTATGGCAAAAAGAATTTTAGAGTGGGGTTCCCTATACTAAGTTCCCTCTTGCTATTTCCTTAGGGATTATCCTCGAAAAAACTTTATATGTGATGCCAACCACATATAAAACATATGTGACCTTGTTTCTCAGCTTTTGATTGGAGTAGACGGTTGGGATAAATTCATATATAATGTCCCATGTCAGTTTTGTGTTAGAGTTTTTTTATTTTTTTTATTTTTGTATTTTTTTTATTTTTTATTTATTATTATTATTTTTTTATCAAGAGAGATAGAAAAAGAAATAGATGAGACTGGCGTAGACCAATCAAAGAGCTGAGAGACAAAGCCTTACTTCTATTTTTTTTGTTCTCCTTTTCTTTGTTCTAAAATAAAAATTATTTTGTGGTGAAATTTTGGTATGCAAGGGCGCTACCCGTTATTTGGGAGCTCCAAGAAGTGTGCTATCGCACATAATTGTATTTTGCTTGTTAAGCGACTTAAGAATATATATGGTATATCCCTTCTCCCGCCTGCAGCAGTGGCAATGAAAGTTATTAAGCATGACGCTTGGTTTTTTGGAAACTTATGCTGATGGATGTCGAGGAAGCGAGAAGAGCAGTTAGTACTACAATCTATAGGGTCAGAGGTATCCTTACCATTAACTTATGGAATAACTTTTGTCATTCATGTTTTGCCCTAAAAAATTTGTGTTGGTTAAAATTTTGTGGAGTTCTTTTACATGCTTGGTTAAAAGCTATTAACTAACGGTCCAAATGTTTTTTTTAATATAATTATTTTTTTAGTTTTTAAATATATATTTTTTATGGGAAATGATCATATAGAACCTTCTCTTACTTGTATGTATAGGACCCAATGGATCACCGTTAAATTTGATATGGATATATAAAAAAATCAAATCCCACACCTATGTGATAATTTTTATAGAGATTAATGGTGATCATTTGGAAACCTACTTACATAAAATAAAGAAGGGCCTTATAAAATCAATACTCATTTTTTATATTCATGATTTCGATGTAAAAAATTGTATGTTATGTAAAAATTAGATTCAAATTATATTTAAAAATAAATTTATGGCCAAGCCCATCTTGGAACCATGTCCATAAATGAGTGTATGAGGTCACAAACCAAAGGTTTTTAACTATTTAAGCATTGCACGCGAAATGTGGGGTTTTGTGCAAGCCTTTGCTTCCACAGAGACTTGTGTTTGGTATGGCATTGTCCGGTTGCTTTTATTTGACGCATACATCTCACAGAGTACTTTATTATTTATAAACGTATATTTTTATGGTAAGTTGTCAGACTGCTTACAACAGCGTGCTCCCCTGGCGGCAATGCTCTACGACCTTCTAGGGTAAAAAAGCCGGTTATTATATATATATATATAGAATAAACATTTTGTCAGGTAAAGGGTGTCTTACTACAATAAACGTCAACGGTCTATATTCAATTTTGGTCGATCCAATGATCTCAAATATTCGATAGTGTTTGAATTTTTAATTTTTTTTTACAAATCGAATTGATTTGAAATTTAGAGCGTTTGTACATAAAAAAAAACATTTGGACCGTTAGTTAATAGCTTGTGTTGGTTAAAATTTTATGTTGGTCAATAGCTTGTCAAGCTATTTTCATAACCAATTGGAGGAAGGAGGTTTCTATAGGGGAAGTTAACAGAGCAATCTTTGGATTACCAGGAGACAAGACACCGGGCCCCGATGGGTTCCCCTTAAACTTTTTTCAAAAATTATAGAATTTGATTAAAGGGAAACTTTTACAGATGGTGATAGGTTTTTTGAGCTGTGGTGAATTTTTTAAGGGGATAAACTCAACTTATATTTCCTTGATTCCAAAAAAATAGATATTTGCGGAGCTTTTAGACATTATACCCATCAACTTGCTTACTAGCTTTTATAAAATTGTGGCTAAGCTTTTGGTAGAGAGATTGAAGAGAGTGTTACCTCAAATTATTATTGGGCCACAACCAGCCTTCATTCAAGATCGGTTGATTATGGATAATGCTTTGGTGGCAAATTTTGGTAAAAGACCTTAAACTTTTTTGTAAACCGTCCCAAATGTAAGTAAAGGAGGTAGATTGTATTAAGTAGGCAATGGACATAAAACGTTACCAAAAATTTCAATGAATCCTAAATACACCCCAAATAGTTAAAAAACGCTTTTATGATGATGATTATATTATAATATCATAATATATTATATTATTATGTAATAATATATTATTATATTATTATGTAATAATATATTACTATATTATATTGTAATGCCATATTATATAATTCTAGGGAGACACGTATTCCAGGAAATTCAAACAGTAGTCAAGTATCTTTTAAGTCTCTTACCATAAACTAGCCAAACAGCAACACCTATATTAGGATATGCCAAGTTTAGGAGATAACAATTCTACAAGAGACATCTCTCTAGGATAACTTAACAAGTCCTTAGAATCAATGTTATAAAAAAATGCGAGCTTTTTATATTTAGTAGTCCGAAGGCAACATGTGCTTCTCATTCTCCACATTACTTACTTGTATACAGTAACATCTTTCAAAGCTCCAAAGAAACGCCAGACATTATTTTCACCACACGGGCAAACCGACACATACCCAAACAAGTCTCACATTTCCATGCAATTTAGAGGAGGATGAGTTCTCATAAAAACTTCTAAAATCATTCAAGTGAAATTTGTGGGAACATGTAGATTTGATTAGTGCTTCTTTAGAAGCACTTCCTTTATTAGCCGCTCGAAGTTATTATGAGAGCTACCTCCAAATTGAACAACAATTTTTGAGCTCACCTTCGATTTCTTGGCCTTTAACTGCAACTCTTTACCCTTCTCTCCTCCCATCAACTTTCTCACCAATTCTTCCACATCCTCCCTCTTAACATCATTGTTTATCTCCATCCCAATGCCCAATTCCTTGCAAACGTACCAGCAATTTGTTTGTGGATCGGCAAAAAAGGGCCAACAAATCATCGGCACGCCATTGAGAATGCTATCAAGTGTAGACTTCCAGCCATTGTGAGTTAGGAAGCCACCAATGGCATGGTGTGGCAGTACTTTCATCTGGTTACACCAACTTAAGATTAGCCCGCATTCTTTGGTTGCTTCGACAAATTCTTTTTCTAACATTGCCGATTCGCCAACTACAAGATCTTTGCGAATATCCCATATGAAAGGCCTTTGGCTATTTGCAAGACCCCAGGCAAACTCATTGAGCTGATAGGGTGTTAAAAATGCCGAACTGCCAAAATTCATAAACACAACTTACCTAGTCTCCTTGTTGTTGAGCCATTCTACACAAGCATCCTCTTCTTTCCCAAGACTCATTGAAACTGACTTTAAACAGTCTTTGGATTCAAACTGGCTAAAGCTTGCAATCGGGCCGATTGTGTAGATTGGGCAATGGGTTCTTTCTCTTATGGCATCGAGAACAGATTTCTCTAATTCTTCGAATGTGTTGATGATCAATGCCGAAGACTTGAGAGCCTCAGGGCATCCAACCGTGCAATTTTGTAACATGGGATCATTAAGATTGGTTGTCCTAATGAAGGAGGGTGAGTCCCTTAGACGGATATTGGGCATTCCAGGTATCCAATCGACAACTGCTTCTAGTTCACCGTTGGTCATGAAATTCTCATCTGCATTCGCCAATAACACAACATCTACCATATGAGTTTTCTCTTGTGGTGGCCATCGAGTTGGTGGGTAAGGCCAGCCTGGAAAATGGACCCGATCTGAGTTTGGGTTTGGGTCAAAATTTTTGATCCGTTGGGTCGGGTTTGGGTCGAAAACCTTGGAATTGAGTCGGTTTTGGGGCCAGAACGACCTGACCCGACCTGGACCGGTTCCCAACATGGGTATGCCAACACATACACATCTGGTTATACATATAACATACATTATAAAAGGGATTGTGTACAATGAGACCATCTAGCTTTGAGACAAGGTGGTAACAATTCTTTACATCCATTTGACGTAAAATTTGATAGTTCGGATGTGTCACAAAGTTTGAAAAAATTTCTTTTGAAGATTGAGCTTGGTCAATAGAATAATTGTAGCCACCCAATTTCACATAGAATGGTCAAGACTAATATGACCACCTTGAATCAAAAGGTAAATAGTCTCATTATGTACTTTCCCTATATATAATGTACGTGTTTGTTCTCATGCTACCGTGTCATTGAAGTATAATGAAAACATACTTGTAGGAAACTATGTTTGTTATGTTTGTTTCAACCCAAATTTTGCACACACTCTCTTCATCTCGATAATCGATCCATTATAAAATTCAATTTGCACCATAAATATGGCCAAAATTAGTCCCCTCCAATAATGAATCAAGACTATAGATTTGATAAATTTCAAGATCTAGGCATTTAAGAGTTCAAATTAATTTTTTTCATTTTTAGTATTGTTAATCTAATGATAGCAAAGCTATCTAAAAAAATTAGGAAGGAAAAAGTTTCATTCTGAGGCCTAGATCTACACATCTCACTAAATTGATGGCCTATATTAATTGGGCTAAAAAAAAGCTTCTTTGTGTGTATTTTAAACTTTTCCGTTTTGGGTTGTTCATTAGAAAGAGCGTATATCTAAATATTGCGGAAAACAAATAGCCCTAACTTGGTTCTTGAATATTGTTTAATTATAGTACTAT